TTTCTTTCTTTCTTTCTTTCTTTCTTTCTTTCTTTCTTTCTTTCTTTTTTCTTTCTTTCTTACATCAGAAATTAAATTTTAAAAAGGGATGATTAAAGCAAACGATTGTAATGAAATATGGGGGGATTTTATAAAAACAGTGTTGGTGGAAGGCAAAGGAAATAAACCTACTCAAGAATATATGTTGTTTTGGAAGGGATAAGGGCACAATTGGAATATATTGCATATCTTTTCATCATTATAGAAGAAGAAATATAAGAGGGGAAAAAATGGTCTCCGGGGGTGGGGGATGCACTATAATATTTGTATTTTTTTTTCTTTTTCTCCTTTTTGTGTATTTAGACGTATACGTACTATGTTTGTATTATTTGTATTTAATTGTTGCTGAACTTTGTATTTTGATATGGCCCAAGGGCTAATCAATAAAGACTTATTATTATTACTATGAAAGTATTTAAAATAAATACATATTTTAATAAATAAATACCGGAGCCTGCGAGCCTGAGCCCATATTTTCCATGGATTTCTTTTTTTTCTTCCACAGAAATGGTGGCATCTGCTACCAGGAATGCGTGGGGCGCACCTTGCTGCTCAACCTCTCTTCCTCTTCCTCCCTGAGCTCTCAGCGGGCTGGGGGCCCCCTCGCCAACGGTCTCTCTTACTGCGTCTGGGTTTTGTCAACTGGTGCGGACATCCAGCCTTGCCGGCCGGAACAAACCTGCCCGACAATCACACTCACTATTCAACCGGACACCCTTTGTATGGTAAGCGAGAGGGATAACGCAGGTGTGAGTTCAGGAGGTCGCTAATCGGGGCAAGTTGCGGCCCCCGACGGTGCAGGTTTTTAAGGTTTGGAAGAAGCAGAAAGAGACACTGAAAAAAGCGATTTACGGACAGTTTTCACACTTGCGACCATTGCGGCATGCTTAGCGACCGATTCATATTTATGATGGTTGCAGTGTCCTGGGGTCGTGTGATCCCTTTTTTGCGACCTTCCGACAATTAGCAAAGCCAATGGGGAAGGCAGATTCACTTAACAACCGTGTTGCTAACTTTAACAACGGCAGGGTTTCCCTTAACAAACCTGGCAAAGAAAAGTGATAGAACGGAGCCAAACCAAGGAGTGGGATTCTACCGGTTTGGACCGGTTCAAGCGAACCGGTTGTTAAAGTTACAGCTGCTTCACCAAACCAGTATTTCAAATGACTGGCTGGCCCCACCCCTCCCAGAGCAACACTTAGCAACATAAATGATCCACTCCCCTGACAGCCGTGTTATTATATGGATCTCTTGCTAAAACAGCAGCATTTCTAACTCTGTTGGGGTCTCATCTCTTTCAATGCCTCCTTAGCACAACTATATCTACGTTTTTGACGGCGTCCCCGACTTCCTGGACACAGGACTGATCCAGCTGGATCGGAGTCTCATTGGGGCATTCTGCGGCCAGAGTCATCCCCGTCCTGTCACTGTCGAAGCGGTATCAGGTAAGGGGGGGCAAAAAGAAAAAATTGGTTGAAGTCTGTTTATGCATTAAATTTATATCCCTCTTCCATCTCACTGTTGAGAAAGTCCCTTCATTTTTTATAAAAATGAAAATAGAAAAACAGTAACACATTTAAAACCTTAAAATTAAGTTGGCAGCTTCTAACTTTGATGCTAAATGAGAAGAGCAACCAAGAGGATTAGGGGACTGGAGACTAAAACATATGAAGAAGGGTTGCAGGAACTGGGTATGTCTAGTCTAATGAAAAGAAGGACTAGGGGAGACATGATAGCAGTGTTCCAATATCTCAGGGGCTGCCCCAAAGAAGAGGGAGTCAAGCTATTCTCCAAATCACCTGGAGGGCAGGACAAGGAGCAATGGGTGGAAACTAATCCAGGAGAGAAGCAACCTTAGAACTAAGGAGGAATTTCCTGACAGTTAGAACAATTAATCAGTGGAACAACTTGCCTTCAGAAGTTGTAAATGCTCCAAAACTGGAATTTCTTAAGAAGAGATTGGACAACCATTTGTCTGAAATGGCAGAAGGTTTCCTGCCTAAGCAGAGGGTTGGACTAGAAGACCTCCAAGGTCCCTCCCAACTCTATTATTCTATTCTAGTCTACAAGGGTGCCCACCATTTTACTTGTAGGCAGTCTGTGTGTCAGTACGAATGTCGACTTAACATGCAAGCTTGAATTAAAGACATATTAGAAAGGAGAAGGAAGAGGGAAGGAAAAAAGGAAGGAAGGAAGGAAGGAAGGAAGGAAGGAAGGAAGGAAGGAAGGAAGGAAGGAAGGAAGGAAGGAAGGAAGTCTGGAGACAATGGGTTCCCCAGCCCTCCCCAGACCCCCCCAAGGTGATGCAGCCCTCAATGAAATCGAGTTTGACACCCCTGTTCTAAGGGGTTGAAATCCTGCGCAGGATGAGGTAATCTAAACTGCTTTTGTTCCTATTTGTATCTTCTGCACTCTGCTTCTTGTGTTCCATGGGGGTCTGAAGGCAACCTCCAAGCTCTTTTCCTTAGGGCTGGGTTTTTCAGCCTTAACAACTTGAAGATGGGTGGACTTCAACTCCCAGCATTCCTCAGCCAGCATGCTTGGAAGGTTGAAGCCCCTGCATGCCGGCTAGGGAATTCTGGGAGTTGAGGCCCACCCATCTTCAAGATGCCGAGGTTGACAAACACCGCTTTAGAAGAACATCTCCCCTCCCTCCTCCCTGCCACCCTCACAGCTCTGGGGTCCTTGTCAAGGTTTATCCTTCTTCAAACTTGCAGGCCTCCTGGTCATCTACTACGAAGCCAACACTAGCGACGCCTCAGGCTTCAACGCAACGTACCTGGTCCACCGTTGCTGGCCCAGCTGCCACGTCAACCAGGAATGCCAGCAGGGCCACTGTGTTTGCAAGCCTGGCTACACCGGGCCCAGCTGCAAGTTCCAGATCTGTCCCGGCAACTGTAGCGCTCACCTTGGGCAGGGGCTTTGCAACAGGGTGAGTGGGTTGTGGGGACGTCTGTTTTAAGAGGAGAAAGTCGAGACGGTTGAAATAATGTGTTCCATACAAGGGAGTCCTCCACTTACAACCACAATTTGAGCCCACGTTCGTTGGTTGTTAAGCAAGACATTCGTTAAGTGAATTTTGCCCCATTTTACGCCCTTTCTTTGCCACGCTTGTTCAGCGAATTTATTTATTTATTATTTATATAGCGTGTTGTCAGGGTTCCGACGGACGCCCTACATTAAACCACGAGCCTCAGCCAAGTTTCAAAAACAAATCCGGTTATTTATTAGGAGCAACATGTCGGCACCTACCCAAATGAAGTCGGCTCTGCCTCACGTAATTTACGGCCCACCTACGACCCTGTTTTTCCCCTCCCTGCCCAGGGTGTGTCATAAATCATATCCTCCAACGGAGCACTTCCCCGGGCTGTAGAGATCGCACTTTTCCAGTTGATCCCGGTAGCCTGGGATACAGCCTTGAAGAAGATAAGCATGGAATATGCTTCTGGTTGTGGCTGCCCTGCTGCTCCATCAGTTTTCTTCCCTCCTGCCGAGGGCAACTCGAGAGCAGGCCAGGAACGCTTTACGAGTTGACACATATGGCACTAAATCAACGTTAGCCAGGGATCACCGAGGTGGCTGGCTGCCTCTGTGAAAGGAATTTTTTTTACCGGCGGTGTTATTTTTGCCCGAATGCCGGTAGGCAGTCGGGGGAGGCTCCTTTCTTGTTTCTCCGCAGTTTATTCGCTCATGGGAATCGAGCTGGCAGCCTCGGCGGTGAGCAAGCCCAGAAAACTAGCTAACATCATCAGAGTAGCAATGGTGTTTGGGTAACGAAGTGTCGTTTGGCTGGCATTTCAGAGACCCTTACGAGTCTGTTACCTTAGCCGTTGGGTTTAACGGATCTGAGATAGGCTGATGTGGACATTTTGGGTGCTTTTTCCCCAATGAAACGAAGCCCTGATCTGTATTCCTCCTACGGTCCTCCTTGTCTTATCCTCACTCTTTTTCCAGAGACTGGGTCTGTGTATCTGCAGCCATCGCTTTGCTGGGGCCGACTGCACCATCCCGCTGGAAGCTGACAAGATCATTTGGGAAACTTTGATTGACACCCAGTTGACGGCTGTAAGTTACTTTTGTCCTATGGAAGTAGTGCCTTCCTTCCTTCCCTGATCCATCCATCCTTCCTTCCTTCCTTTTCTCCTTCTCTTTCATTCTTTATTTTCCTTCCTTCCCTGATCCATCTTTCCTTCCTTCCTTTTCTCCTTCTTTTTCATTCTTTATTTTCCTTTCTTCCTTCCCTGATCTATCCTTCCTTCCCTGAACCTACCTACTTCTTTCCTTCCTTCCTTCTCTCCTTCTCTTTCAATCTTTATTTTCCTTCCTTCCCTGATCCTTCCTTCCTTCCTTCCTTCCTTCCTTCCTTCCTTCCTTCCTTCCTTTCTTCCTTCCCTCCTTCTCTTTCAATCTTTATTTTCCTTCCTTCCTCCCTCCCTTCCTTCCTTCTCTCCTTCTCTTTCAACCTTTATTTTCCTTCCTTCCTTCCTTCCTTCCTTCCTTCCTTCCTTCCTTCCTTCCTTCCTTCATTCCTCCTTCTTCCTTCCTTTCTTCCTTCCCTCCTTCTCTTTCAATCTTTATTTTCCTTCCTTCCTTCCTTCCTTCCTTCCTTCCTTCCTTCCATCCATCCATCCATCCATCCATCCATCCATCCATCCATCCATCCATGGGGGTACAATGGTTAGAATGCAGTATTGCAGGCTAACTCTGCCGACTGCCAGGAGTTTGATTCTGACCAGTTCAAGGTTAACTCAGTCTTCCGTCCATCCTTCTGAGATCAGTAAAACGAGGACCCAGATCGTTGGGGGCAAGAGGCTGACTCTGTCAGCCGCTTAGAGAGGGCTGGAAAAGCACTATAAAGCGATATACAAGTCTAGGTGCTATTGCTATGATGACATGGAGCAGGTTGCGTCAGATCATTCATCCAAGAATTTTCAGCCTTGTCTTGAGAACGGCTGGGTTCCGCCTCATCCCCTCTCCGTATTTTCCTTCCTCAAGGACACAGCCAGCCGCTTCCTTCACCGTTTGGGCCACACCATGGTGGAGGGTCCTGACTCCACACTCTGGATGTTTGGAGGCATGTCGCTGCGCGAAGGAATGCTGGGTAACGTCTACAGGTAAAAGAGACTCTCTCCCGTCCCTCCAAGGGCCCCACCCCGAACAACCCACCGCCCCCTGGGAGCACGACAGCCAAAGGTGCGGTGACTCCCCCCAGGTACTCCATCGCCGAACGTCGCTGGACTCAGATGCTGGCAGGGACTGAGGACCGAGGGCCGGGCCCCAACCCCCGTTACTTCCACGCGGCTGCCTACATATCCCCAGGCAAAGCCATGTACGTCCTGGGTGGGCTGACGGCCGACGGCGTGGCCAGCGATTTCTGGCTGCTCAACCTCACCACTTTGCAGTGGAGGCTTCTGCCGGTAAGACGTTCTCCCCCCAGACTAGGCATCCTTGGGTGGGATCCTACGAAGGTCCCTTAGTCGTTCCCCGGGTAACTGCAGGCTAACTCCTCATCCCTCTCAAGCAGTTCCCGGAGAAACAGGTCTTCTACGTGCCGTTCTTTGCTGTCTCCTCTCTCCCTCTCTCCCTCTCCCCCCTCGCTCTCCCTCCCTCCCTCTCTTTCTCCCTCTCTTTCGCTCTCTCTCTCTCCCTCCCTCTCTCTCTCTCTCCCTCTCGCCCCCTCGCTCTCCCCCTTTCCCCCCTCTCTCTCCCTCTCCCTCTCCCCCTCGCTCTCTCCCTTTCTCTCTCTCTCTCTCTCCCTCCCTCCCTCTCTTTCTCTCTTTCTCCCTCCCTCTCCCTCCCCCTCTCTTCTCTCTCCCTCTCTTTCCCTCTCCCTCCCCCTCTCTTCTCTCTCTTTCTCTCTCTCTCTCTCCCTCCCTCCCTCCCTCTCTCTCTCCCTCTCCCCCCGCTCTCCCCCTTTCCCCCCTCTCTCCCTCCCTCTCTTTCTCTCTTTCTCCCTCTCCCTCTCCCTTTCCCTCCCCCTCTCTTCTCTCTCCCTCTCTCTCTTTCTCTCTCCCTCCCTCCCTCCCTCTCTCTCTCCCTCTCCCCCCGCTC